TCAATTATTTAGCAATTATTGGGCAGTTTCAACATACCTATCATGGTATATCATCTTATTTAACTATCAGTGCATGAAGTAGCACTGTTTTCCCCATTTAGTACCTGAGTTCCCAGAGGATAATGTGGGATTCTCAAAGTCCACTCTTCGTGAGAAGCTGAGCTTGGAGTTAGACTCTGATTCTCAGTCTCTCTAAGTTCAGTGATCTTGCCTCCAGACCTGTTGGCTCCAGATTTTAAAAATCTTTAACAATTTTTGAATTATCACAGCAGTACATGTGTATTGTACAAGAATTGGAACGATTATAAAGATAGTGACAAAGAATCACTCACGATTCTCCATGCCCAAATAATCTCTGCTACCAATCTGATGCTTTTTTCCCCTTCTTGATCCATGCTCATTCTCCATCAATTTCATACTAAATAAAATATTTTGTATATTTTTTTACTAATCACATAAGATTGGGAGCAATTTCTTGAATTATTAAATTTTAATAAAATCATAATTTTAATGATTGCATATTTTTTCATTATAGGATATAACATAATTTTTAACAATTTAGATACTTTCTGTTTTTTTCTATCATAAATTCTTTGATTACATTCTTGTGAATAAATCTCTCTCTGAATCTCCAGTTATTTCCCCAGGATAAATTCCTAGAAGGGAAATTATTGCTCCAAAGGGTATTAATTATTTTTAAAGTTCTTTATATATAATTCCAGATTGGAATTTTAAGAAATTTGTGCTAATTTTCATTCCTTTTAGTAGGGCAGATATACCTAACCCTAAATCAACAACAAATTTTTAAAAATTTGGTAATTTTGTGGATTAAAATGTTACAGTTTTACTTTGATTTTTATTAAGTAGTGGGGCTTTGAAGTTTTTTTATTGATTTGTCAGAGTTCTTTATATATTAAGGATATTACTAGTTCTTTTTCTGGCAAATATTACACCTAGGTTTTTATTTACCTTTAAAATGAAAATAAGCTCATCTCTATTTACTTTTCGTCTTATTCATAGCAAAGGATACTTCAGATCATGAGCATTCAACCCATCCAACAGCAAGAGTAGTAGCAAGAACAAATGCTTCCTCTATGAGTAGAATTTGCCAGGTGGCTGGAAATCCCAAGCAGTGAGGCTTAGCCATGACTACCAGATCTCTGGTACAGACTGCAAGCGTGCTGGGCTGTGCTTTCACACATGTAACTCCAGGGTAGAAATCAGCCCAAATAGGAGGCAGCCAGGGGATATAGAGAGGAGCTTTTAAGACTGATTGTAAGCCGTGAGCAAAGGGTTGCCTTTGTTCTACGTGCAGCCACAAAGCACTGAATTCCTCACCATCCTTTCAAATAAGTAGAAGGAGGTGAAAAACAATGTAATGAAAACTTTGTTAAGAAGTCTATGAAGTTGAAGACAGATAGGAGCTTCATTCTCATACCCTTTGGTAAATTTAGAGGAAAGAAAAATGACTTGAGGCCTGACATTTTCTCTCCTCAATTCTCAGCATATTTCATTTTGAGGAAAAATAATCCTTCATGTCAGGTAAATCCCTTCTTTGGAAACAATAACATTTCTTTGTATGTATTGGAATGGGATATGGTAATGTTTCTCAATCTTGATACTATTGACATTTGGGGCAAAATAATTATTTGTTTGGGGGGGACTAAAGAATAAATAAATTAATTAATTAATGATTCAACAGTTTGCATTTAAATATTTGAAAAATTGTGAAATGAGAAATTCACCTTCCCCCCCCCGCATTGGTCCATAGGGCCGAATTCATTACAGGGAGAAAGATATTGGGATCAGTGTAAGAAATCTTTGTTGTAATAAAAACAATGCAAAAATAGAATGGTCTAGCTCCAGAATTAATGAGCTCCTGTTCACTGGAGGCATTCAAGGAGAGACTAGATTGTTCTTAGATAGGATCTTGTATAAGACGTTCATACAAAAGAGGAGAGATTCAAAGTTTACAAGTATCTCTCATCCCTGAAATTCTATAAATCTGTGTTACTTGCTGTCTTTCCTTTTTAATATTTCCTATGCAGGTAGTAATTCCACTTGAGGAACTTATTTCTTTTCAAACAGAAGATAAACTTTTCTAAAGTGCTCAAAAATCATCACACATACTGCATAAACTGGCTTCTTTGGGGCTTCACAGAGAAAGCATGCTTTCAAGAAGTTGAATTAGGGATTTTCTGCAAAAACTAACTCATTTCCACTAGCCTAGGGCTGGAAGATTTTTCATGGTCTCTCAGATACCATATGATTGAAAACGAGCAATGGAGTCAATTGAGGGGGCTTGGGGAAGGCACAAGAAGTCTGTACAGGGATAGTGCACTCCTAGGCAGTTTCCATAATCAGTGCTACAGATTTCTGTTGAGGTTCCAGACCTTCCCTGAACTGAGATCTAGTTTTCTGGAACCCTGTGTTTTCTGAAGGGTTGGATCCTTTTCTTCTTCCCACTACAAGTTATGAGTGAACAGAAGGCATCGGTTAGCAGGAGCTATGTTTCAGCAAAAGACATGGGCCAGCAGAGGAAATAAATGAGTAGGGACCAAGGGTCATTAGGAGTCAGAGTTCAGTAGGATCCATGGAACAGTAAGAGCAAGGGGTCAACAGAAGCCATGGGTCAGGAAGAACTGTGGATCTATAGAAACCAAGAGTTAGCATGAGCCATGAGTCAGCAGATGCCACAGGTCAACAGGAGACAGAAGTAGCTTTTGTAGGAGATTTTGTTCATCAGGTCAGTAGGAGCTTTTGTTCATCAGGAACCATGGGTCCATAGGAACCATTGTCAGCAGGAACCATACATCAGCCAGAGAGAGAGTCAGCAGTAGGTGGTGGGAGCAGAGGCTAAAAGACACAAAGAAAGAGAGCAGCACCAGACTTGGAGGCGGTTGATGCCATAGGACAGTGGACGCCATGATTAAGCAAAGGATGCAGAGTAACAAGAAGCTGAGTAGAGAGCACTTAGCAATAATAGTATTGATTAAGTACAGAGTATAAATAATTCACCATCATAATAGAGTAGGAAACAATGTGTTTCTGAGCACGTGTCAAGATAATGTAGGGTCTACAGGAGCGTTGAGTCCTGAAAGATCTAATCCTGAATGACATTCTAGTCTCTATGAGAACTGGTAGTTTAGCAAATGAGATTCTTGTCTTTCCTAATTTCCCAGGTATTCTTATTGTTTTAGGTTGAATGCCTAAAAAGGGGAATTCTTGAGATACAGTATACAAGGTTGCTTTTTAAGTTTCTTGATATATATTGCTAAGTTACTTTTCAAAAATGTTATATGAATTTGCTCTTCCCCATCTTCTAATTAAAGTACTTATAAAAATGTATTCTCAAAGGTACAGAGTTTTAAGGGGGACTGAAAGCTGTAAGTATTACTATCTCTCAGGAGGAATTTCCAGTACAAAAATTTCAGATAGATGTTTGCTGTGTAGAACAAGAGGGCAAAGGAGATTGATACCTGCTATTCTGTTTCTCTCCATCATGTAAGTCAGAACTGTTTGGAGTCTCAGGGGAAAGAATCCAATTTAATTAAAAATGGCTTGATTCAGGGAATTCCCTGGTGGTCCAGTGGTTAGGACTTGGTGCTCTCACTGCCCAGGTTCCCAGGTTCCATCCCTGGTTGGGGAACTAAGATCCCACAAGCCACACGGCGTAGCCAAAAAATAAAAAATAAAAAAGGCTTGATTCAATGAAATAATTTATAAGGGCATGTAACTTGAGAGTTTGGAATGTAGTGTGGTAGATTTCAGGTATGAGTTGATCCAGGATCTTGATGTGAATCAGGACAAACATGTCTACTCTTCATCTTCTGCCTCAGTTCTAGTGGTTGGAAGCTCTGATTGGCCAGATCAGGCCCATGGCACATGCCCACTCTTGGAGCCAGATGTTATGGGAGTTACTGACTGATGTCCCCCTACTCCAAGTTATGACTTGGGAGAATTAATGGAGATGGTGTTGGCAAGTCAAAACAGATGTCAGCAAGGCCCTTAATATAGGCATGGGGGCTTCAGGACACCCTTCATTTGGGTAGAAGCTGCTTTTGAAAATGTTCAGAATGGTTTGTACATTCCCATCAGTTATCTCCACTTCATACATCTTCTAGAATCTAGGCTATAATTTTCAATGTTACAATGTTACAGTCTGGGGAAGGAAGGAATGTACTTTCCTGTTACATCCATAACGTAGAGCCAACAGAGATAAAAGTCTGAACCTGGAACAGCCATAGGAACAATTCCTTTTAAGCATCATTTAATTTATTTTTTTTTGGCCACACCGCATGGCTTGCAGGATCTTAGTTCCCCAACCAGGCATCGAACCCGGGCCCACAACAGTGAAAGTGCCGAGTCCTAACCACTGGACTGCCAGGGAATTCCCTGAGCATCATTTTAAATAGCATAATAGTCTGTTACTTTTGGAGGATGTAAAAGCTGATGAAACCCCTTCTATAGAAGGAACTCACTGTTGAGAGCAGCCTGGGCCTTCTCTACTCCCCACCCCTCCTCTATGGCATACTGGAGGAAGGGGCACCAGTTTGGGTTTAATTTGGGTCCTTCTAATACCTCATTATGTAAAAACAAGTGTCCCCAGATGCTCGGGAAATTTGGAGTCATCCCTCCTCTTTACTTGTTCTTCTCCTGCATAAAGACATTTCCAGAATATCACATGCTCCTAAAAATGTACTTCCTTGTATGTGAAACCAGCCAATGGTTCCCCCAAGAAGTGTTTGAAGGCGTAATGAGCACCCAGGTTCCCGGTGTCGGAGCTCTGATAGAGAGGATTCTCTCCCGAAGCCAGAATTCCCTCCAAGAGCCTCCACCAGGCGACCCTGGGGAGAAGTTGGTGTTAACTCCAGGCTGCTATGGTTGGGAAACCACTTACCATAAAAACTCAGTCCTCTCTTTCCTCATGGCCCCACCTCTGGGGTGAAAAATTGAGTCTCCCACAGGCTGCTCATAATCTGCCTTCTTTCCCCTTCCAGAGAATCTGCCTCTAAGAAGATTAGAATCTATCCTCACGGGCCACACCATTTGGTGGGGGACACAGAGGCATAAGTAAGTAATGATGACAGAGTTTGAAAAGTACCAATTATAAGAATAATCAAAAAGCTAGAGTACCTTAGAGGTAAGAAGAAGAAAATTTGCCGAGGAGATCTGGGAAACTTAGCAAAAGAGGAAGCATTCAAATTCAGTCTTGAAAGAACAGGAGTTTGCTAAGTGGAGATAAGAGTGGATAATAATAATAATAATAATAATAAGCTCATATTTTTTTGAGCACTCACTGTGTGCCAATCACTGTTCTATGTGCTTTACATGTATTATTAATATGATATTTACATGTATTACCTCATTTCATCCTCATAACAACCATATGAAGTAGGTGTTAATATTCTCCCCATTTTGCAGATAAAGGAGACTGAGGCCCAAGAGGTTGTTTGCCTAAGGTCACACTGAAAATATGTGGTAGACCTGAGATTCCAACCTAGGCATTTTGACTCTAGAGCCTGTGTTTTTAACCTATTTGCCATACTACCTAAAAGAGCATAACATCAATATCATCAAAGGCATGGAGGGATGGAGGTGGTTTAAAAATATGTCCAAATTCTTTGAGATTTCTTCCTACAAGTGGTGGAGTCTAACTTCCCTCTCCTTGAGTACGTGCTAGACTTACTGACTTGCTGCTAATGAATACAAGAAAGCAGAAGTGCCCATGTGTGGTTTTGAAGACTTGGTTATAAAAAGCGCTGTGGCTACATCTTCACTCTCTCTCTCTCAGATCACTTGCTCTGGGGATAGCCAGCTGACATGTTGTAAGGACACTGAAGAAGCCTTATGGAAAGGTCCACATGGTGAGGATCCTAAGTATCTGGCCAGTAGCCAGGAAGGACCCGAGGCCTCCTGCCAACAGCCATGTGAGTGAGTTTAGATGGAGATTCTCCAGTACCCATTAAGCCTTCAGAGACCATGCCCTTAGCAGACATCTTGACTGTAACCTTGTGAGAGACCCTGAACCAGAATCACTCAACCAAGCTGCTCCGAACTCCTGACCCATAGATACTGTGAGAAGATAAAGGTATGCTGTTTTAAGCCACTGAGTATTGGGGTAATTTGTTACACAGCAGCAGACAACCACTACTGGCGTGAGAATGTTTTGTGTCTTCAGTGTACACGGGCAGTCAGTATTTTGGAGCTGAAGCGCAGAGTTTATAGAGAACTGGCCAGGAGTGAAGCTTTTAGGATAAATTATAAAGCATGACAGGCATTCCTCAAGCTCAGGCTCACAGAGCCCACTTTCCACAACAACTCTCCCCGTCCCCAATCCTGAGCCACCCCATACCTAGCCAGAAAATTCTTCCATTTTCAATTCCTTGTCCATGCCACTATATGGCTTTCATTACACTATTCCTTGTCGTGCTACCAGCTGTGGATATTCCTTTCTTCCCAACTAGATGGAAAGCTCCTGGCATGCTCAACTCACATTTTATTCACTGTCCTCCTTGCATAAAACCCTTTGGTCACTGCCCTGTACATGTTTGGGAGATGAATCCTGCCCATTCTGAAACCTCGTGGCTGATGGATGGACTTCCGTTCAATTCCAGCCAACATGCTCTGCTGTCTTGTCTTTGACTTGGAGTGTAATGTCCATGAGTGGGATAGATTGAGACCCAAGAGGCAAATTAGTTTAAGGTACCATTACAGGGACTTCCCTGGTGGTCCAGTGGTAAAGAATCCGCCATTCCATTGCAGGGGACGTGGGTTTGATCCCTGGTCGGGGAGCTAGGATCCCACATGCCTCGGGGCAACTAAGCCTGTACGCCACAACTACTGAGCCCGTGCACTTCAACTAGAGAGGCTGCCTGCTGCAAACTACAGAGCCCACGTGCTCTGGAGCCTGTGCACAACTAGAGAGAGGAAAAAAAAACCCCACAGGTCACAACTAGAGAGAAGCCTGCATGCTGCAACGAAGAGCCCGCGTGCCACAACTAAGACCTGATGCAGCCAAAAATAAAGTAAAATAAAATAAATATTTAAAATAAAATTAAAAAAATAAAGTACCAGTAAGTATTCTGGACATTTTTATCACAGTGATGTGAAATGATTCACACCTATATGGATTCAGGTGTTGAGGAGACAGGGCAACAGACCGGGGAGAGGGTACTCTTTTTTTTTTTTTTTGGCGGTACGCGGGCCTCTCACTGTGTGGCCTCTCCCGTTGCGGAACACAGGCTCCGGACGCGCAGGCTCAGCGGCCATGGCTCACGGGCCCAGCCGCTCCGTGGTATGTGGGATTTTCCCGGTCCGGGGCACGAACCCGTGTCCCCTACATCGGCAGGCGGACTCTCAACCACTGCGCCACCAGGGAAGCCCCTAGAGAGGGTACTCTTAACAGTAAGTAAGGCTGGCCACCAAGGGTGATGCACATCAATACAAATTATAGTCTCCATGTAACATTTGAATTAATTCCTCTTTTCTGCTTTATTTTCCACTGTGTGCTCAGTTCCTGCACATAGAATATGCTTGATACATACTTGCTGAATGAAAGAATGCTGATATTGAGAATAATATTCATGACACCTACGTTCTCCAGGCTATTCCTACAGATAAAGACTTTGGTCTCTTAAGAGGATGTTTATGGATAAAGAAGGACTCCAACCAATCACAGGAGGCTAAGGGAAGGCATATCATAGGTACATACCAGCATAAGTGGGCAGGTGATGGTGGTCAGAGCCCCAGGAAACTGGGGAGGGATTCAGGGAAATAAAACACAAATAAGAGGAGAACCCCAATGTATCAGTTATTATAGGAGACATCTGCTGTTTTTGTTGTTGTTGTTTATTTGTTTTAAGCTATCCACTATTTTCTCCTTCTTCCTTTAGTAATAGTCCTCTGAGTTCCACTGGACAACCATCATTTGCTGATTCTTGCTCCATGTGACTTGAATGGAGTTAACCTTCTACCCCAGAATCCTAGCCCAGATCTGACTAATAGAAACTCTGTATTCTCCTGGTAACAGTGATTGGTTCATGTGTTCACTGTGACCAACAGTGATTGGTCACATTGGCATGTGACCCAGCTGGAGCCAATGAGAATCAATGGGACTTTTGGGACTACTTCTGGAAGAGAACTTGTCCTCTTTTCTGCTTCACTTGAGCCAGGGAGGAGTAGGCATCAGAAATGCTGGTCTCCATCATGTCGCCAAGTGATAGAACTGGACAATGAAGCCAAGAGAGTGGCGGTCAGAGATTGAATGAAACAGATTCTAATGACACAATTTCAGATTCCTGAAGAAGCCATATCCCGATTACATCTTTGGGCTTTTAAGTTGCATATATGAAATTTTGTTTATCTTAAGCCAGCTTGAGTTTAGCTTTCTGTCACTTGCAATTTTAAGACTCCTGACCAAAGGGACTGCCTTTGGATGCCATACCAGTAGCCAAGGGCCCACAGAGGGTACACAAAATATCAGGCTTAAGGCATCAAGACTGAGTCAGTTTCCACTGATTTTCAACCTTACTTCTATTACTTAATAAGAAAGGGTTTTTTCCTTTATGTATTGACCTGTATAAGTCTAATATTTTTTTCCAAATGACTAAGCAATTGTCTTCAAATTATTATCACCACAAATGTGAAATGCCACCTTTACAATGTTCTAAACTTCCATGTAATTTTCTTTGATCTATTTCTAGACTCTAGTCTGTTCCATTGTTATCTGTGTATTCCTTTGTCATCAATTTGCTGTTTTATAATTTAGCTTTATAGTACATATTAATATCTATTGAATGTTCATTACCTTTTTTCCCCCCCAAATTTTATTTGTTTCTGCCAGGATATTCTTATAGATGAGAATCAAGGTCTAAAGAAGTTCCATTGGGATTAAGATTAGAAATAATTGGAGATAACTGAGTCTTTCCCTTCAGGTTTTTGGTGTATATTTTTCATTTATTCAAGTCTTTGCATATCTCTCAGTAAAATTTTATAACTTCATCTCATTAAAAAACAAACTATTCTTCTAAAGTGCAAGTCACTCAATTCTGACACCCTATCCCCTCCATATCCCATTCATCTAATGACATTCTGGACCTTGCCTTGTTATTTCATTAATTTCTCCCCAGTTTTACCCTAGCTTTATTGAGATACAGTTGACATACAGCTTTGTATAAATTTAAGATATACAGAATAATAATTTGACTTATATGTATTGTGAAATGATTACCACAGTAAGTTAATGTCCATCATCTCTTACAGATACAAAAAAAAAAAAAGAATATGTTTTCTTTCCTTGTGATGAGAACTCTTAAGATCTACTCTCTTAACAACTTTCAAATATACCATACGGCAGTCTTAACTAGAATCATCATGTTGCACATTACATCCCATGTACTTATTTATCTTATAACTGGAAGTTTGTACCTTTTGACCACGTTCTACTTAATTCTTGTCACACATTCTTCCTTTCCATCCCAGCCCTTGCCAGCATCTAGGCTGATTTCAATGGCTTTGTAATGCATCTCAGTTCTATGATTTCTTCACCTCTAATAACCTTCCCCCTCCATCTCAGCCATCCACTCTGGCTAAAGCACCCTTCGCCTTGTCTTCACTCCCAAACTCTTCCATTCTAAATTCCTAATTCAAGCATGCAGACCTTCTATCATTCCAATTTACTTCCTCAAACTTTTTTTATTACTACTCTTCCTGCACTTCTTAGGTACCTCTAGTTCAATGTTTCCTGTATCCCTCAGAGCTCGTTCAAGGGAAGGCACCACAGTTAGTTGAGCAGAAAGAATTTAATATGAAAGAGTGCTAACGGGTATCGAAGAACTGAAAAGGCAAAACTCTCTAACTTTCAGGTGTGACTGCAGCAAGCAGCTAGCATCACTAGAAAGAAGAAACAGAGAAAAGATGCTGGAATTGCTAAAACACAGAAGCTTGGAGGAGGGGTCTCCTGGTGCTAGGTCCCAGATCTCTGAGGAGGGGCACTGCTTGGCTCGGTCTGCTGTCTTTGAGAGGGTGCCATGAAGCTAGTTCTGAGAGTGTTGGAAAAGCTGCAAACTGGCTTCAGCTGCTGCTTCAAGAAGGAAGTGTCACTGCCAACGTGAAGAAGCATTGCTAGGGTGATGGTCGCAGGAACAACAGGTATACAGGGACAAGCAAGTCCCTCCTTCCACCTCCAGCCTTGCAATCACCCTCTAGTTTCTCTCTCTCTCTCTCTCTCTCTCAGCAGAGTCTAATAGGAAGACAGCTGGCCATGCCCAAATGTCACTTTCAGAGCACCAATGCCAGCTCCAGGTGAGTTGAAAGCTGAGACAATAGCTTAATAATTGAAACAACTCTTTTACTTTCTTCCTATCCATCATCCCCCCCATCTTCATTTTCTTGTCTGTCCCGCTTGAGATTAATTATCATCCTTTCGGTTACTCTCTGGCTGCTATCATAAACCCATTTTGTTCCAAACAAGCACATTGGTAGCACTGATTACCAGCCCAATGCCGCCCGTACATCTCACTACATTTCTCTAGGCAGCGTGTTTCTCCACACTCAGCAAAGATTGCTTTAAATCTTCTCCACTCTTCTCGAACTTCGACCTCCTTTCCCCTTTTGCTAGTTTCTGTTTCAACGATGGACGCTACCTCTCAGCTCTGAGAAGAAGCCAACGTCTGCCTCAACCTTCCTGTCCTCTCTCCTCTCACAGTGAGAAAGGTGATGTTTCTCTGGGTAAGGCCAACCTGTTCTCTGGATCCCATCCTGTTCTTTTTTCTGGAATCTTTAATATTCACCTATGCCGACTGCATTTTGTATCTTCCCTCTGTTCCTCTGTACAGGTTCTTGCCTTTGGCTTTTTTTCTTTTTTATTAATTGGCATATAGATGTTTTACAATGTTGCTTTAGTGTCTACTGTACAGCAGAGTGGAGTTCCCTGTACTATACAGCAGGTTCTCATTAGTTACCTATTTTATACATATTTTTATGCATTTTAATTCCATTCACTAATTTTTTCTTGAATCTTTGTATTTTATTTTATTTATTTTTTTATACAGCAGGTTCTTATTAGTTATCCATTTTATACATATTAGTGTATATATGTCAATCCCAACCACCCAATTCATCCCACTACCACCACCACCCCCGCCGCTTCCCCCCTTGGTGTCCATACGTTTGTGCTGTACATCTGTGTCACTATTTCTGCCCTGCAAACTGGTTCATCTGTACCATTTTTCTAGGTTCCACGTATATGCGTTAATATACGATATTTGTTTTTCTCTTTCTGACTTACTTCACTCTGTATGACAGTCTTTAGATCCATTCACGTCTCTACAAATGACCCAATTTCATTCCTCTTTATGGCTGAGTAATATTCCACTGTATATATGTACCACAACTTCTTTATCCATTCGTCTGTCAAGGGGCATTTAGGTTGCTTCCATTACCTGGCTATTGTAAATAGAGCTGCAATGAATATTGGGGTGCATGTGTATTTTTGAATTATGTTTTTCTCTGGGTATATGCCCAGTAGTGGGATTGCTGGGTCATATGGTAATTCTATTTTTAGTTTTCTTAAGGAACCTCCATACTGTTCTCCATAGTGGCTGTATCAATTTACATTCCCACCAACAGTGCAAGAGGGTTCCCTTTTCTCCGCACCCTCTCCAGCATTTGTTGTTGGTAGATTTTCTGATGATGCCCATTCTAACTGGTGTGAGGTGATACCTCATTGTAGTTTTGATTTGCATTTCTCTAATAACTAGTGATGTTGAGCAGCTTTTCATGTGCTTCTTGGCCATCTGTATGTCTTCTTTGGAGAAATGTCTATTTAGGTCTTCTGCCCATTTTTGGATTGGGTTGTTTGTTTTTTTAACATTGAGCTGCATGAGCTGTTTATATATTTTGGAGATTAATCCTTTGTCCGTTGATTTGTTTGCAAATATTTTCTCCCATTCTAAGGGTTGTTTTTTCGTCTTGTTTGCAGTTTCCTTTGCTTTACAAAATCTTTTAAGTTTCATTAGGTCCCATTTGTTTATTTTTTTAATTTCCATTACTCTAGGAGGTGGGTCAAAAAAGATCTTGCTGTGATTTATGTCAAAGAGTGTTCTTCCTATGTTTTCCTCTAAGAGTTTTATAGTGTCTGGCCTTACATTTAGGTCTCTAATCCATTTTGAGTTTATTTTTGTGTATGGTGTTAGGGAGTGTTCTAATTTCATTCTTTTACATGTAACTGTCCACTTTTCCCAGCACCATTTATTGAAGAGACTGTCTTTTCTCCATTGTATATCCTTGCCTCCTTTGTCATAGATTAGTTGACCATAGGTGCGAGAGTTTACCTCTGGACTTTCTATCCTGTTCCACAGATCTATATTTCTATTTTTGTGCCAGTACCATATTGTCTTGATTACTGTAGCTTTGTAGTATAGTCTGAAGTCAGGGAGTCTGATTCCATAATAACAAATTGAAGAATAAAAACCATATGATCATCTCAATAGATGTAGCAAAAGCTCCTGACAAAATTCAACACCCATTTATGATAAAAAAAACTCCCCAGAAAGTGGGCATAGAGGGAACTTACCTCAACATAATAAAGGCCATATATGACAAACCCACAGCAAACATCATTCTCAATGGGGAAAAACTGAAAGCATTTCCTCTAGGATCAGGAACAAGATAAGGATGTCCACTCTTGCCACTATTATTCAACATAGTTTTGGAAGTCCTAGCCATGGCAATCAGAGAAGAAAAAGAAATAAAAGGAATACAAATTGGAAAAGAAGAAGTAAAACTGTCACTGTTTGCAGATGACATGATACTATACATAGAGAATCCGAAAGATGCCGCCAGAAAACTAGTAGAGCTAATCAATGAATTTGGTAAAGTTGCAGGATATGAAATTAATGCACAGAAATCTCTTGCATTCCTATACACTAATGATGAAAAATCTGAAAGAGAAATTAAGGAAACACTCCCATTTACCATTGCAACAAAAAGAATAAATGCCTAGGAATAAACCTACCTAGGGAGAAAAAAGACCTGTACTCAGAAAACTATAAAAGACACTGATGAAAGAAATTAAAGATGATACAAACAGATAGAGAGATATACCATGTTCTTGGATTGGAAGAATCAATATTGTGAAAATGACTATACTACCCAAAGCAATCTACAGATTCAATGCAATCCCTACCAAACTACCAGTGGCATTTTTTACAGAACTAGAACAAAAAATCTTAAAATTTGTATGGGGACACAAAAGACCCCGACTAGCCAAAGCAGTCTTGAGGGAGAAAAACTGAGCTCATTCACTATTTTTGAAAAAATTAAATTCAACAAAATAGTACAGCCACTTTAGAAAACAGCTTGTCAGTCTATGGTAAAATTAAACATACAATGATCATATGACTCATCAATGCCACTCCCAGGGATTTACCCAAGAAAAAGTAAAATTTATTTTCACACAAAAACCTGTGTGTGAATGTTTATTACAGGTTTCGTCATAACTGTCAAAATCTGGAAATGATGCAAATGCCCTTTAAGTAGTGAATGGTTAAAGAAACGGTGGTACATCCATACGATGGGCTACTACTCAAGAATAAAAAGGAATGAACTATTGGTACCCACAACCTCATGGATGAATCTGAAGTGTTTTTTGCCAAGTGAAAGAAGACATACTCAGAAAGGGACACACTATATGATTCCATTTGTACAACATTTTGGAAAATTATCAGGACAGTAAACAGATCAATGATTGCCAAGAAGAATCCCTTTGAAATTTAAATAGAGAAGCCTCTTTTATTAAAAAAAAAGTATGCACAAAAGCCTCTTTTGAATCTCACCCTCCCCTGCACACTATTGCTAATATTATTCTGACTTTCACAGTAAATTTTTCAAAACAGTTGTCTGCACCCATTTTTCCCCCATTACTTCTTTCCACTGGCTCCTCAACCAACAGGAAAAGTTGCTTCACTTTTGTTTCTCAAACCCGAGAAATTTACAGATCCCCTTATAAAACTTCTCCAGAAGTTCTAGTGTCACTTATTTTTATTCAAATATAAATTAAATATTTACAAATAGATGTCTTAGTTAAAAGTTCCTTATTCTTTTAGCTCTTACACAGTTGTAAAACAAAGGAAAAAATTTGAAAAAATTAAATACCAACAAAACCACAAGACCCATCCGTTTCACATCCACAGCCTTAATTTAACGTGAGAGGTGATGGCCTTCTGCTGCAACAGGTTGCTGCATTGAGGCCCAAAGCCAGTCCCCAGATTTGCTGGCGTGTGAATACAGGTGTCTACTGCCGTATGTGGGTGATGATTTAATTCTTTCACAAGCTTCTCTGGGTGCAAATTCTTCAGAAAACTTTATTCATACAGAATGGGGGGTTGGCAAAACTTCCTGTAAAGGGTCAGATGATAAATATTTTAGGCTTAGCAGGCCCCTGTTGCAACTACTGAATGTCGCCATTATGGCTTGAAAGCACTCACAGACAATACATAAATGAATGGGTGTGTATGTGTTCCAATAACCTTTATTGACAAAACAAGCAACGGGCCAGACTTGGCTTGTGGGTTACAGTTTGCCGACCTCTTTTCTAGATCATGGACTTCAACCAGGAAAGCAGGAGATCGGTAGGATTTGTATTCAGCTGTGGACGCATACTTGACAAGCCAGGAGACTATGTGAAAAGAAAAGGAGTCACCACTACAAGCAACCATAAAATTTACTTACAAAAGCAGGCAATAGGCTGGATTTGGTTTGCAAACCAAAGCTTGTGAAACTTGGATACAGAAAAGTGTCAGATAACCATGACCTCTTTCCTTAACATCTGTATCCAAATCAGCTCACAGCAAGAATGATCATATTGCCACTTTCCTTGGCCCAGCATGTCGTTTCCACCCGGAGCCCCTCAACCTTAAGAGACTTCAGAGATGCCTGCATGTCATAACCACTTGTTTCCCGCTGGGACATCCAGAAGGGCAGGGTAATTATGGACTTTGCCCATTAGCCACCAGAGACTAATGCTTACTAACAGAGTCTGAGCACCATGATGTTATAATTCTGAAACTCTAAAATGCAGTAAGAAAGGAGACTTGGGGAAAATCTTTTTAATTTGGTACCTAACTTTCTATCCACACTGCAAGGCATTTGGGATCAGAGATTTGATTCTCTTTATGAAGCCCTTCTATATAGAGAATCACATCCTACCTTTATATTGCAGCCTGATACACCAGAGAATTAATTTTATTATTAACATTATGCTTTAATTTTAGACAAAGAATACATTTTGAAACAAAGAAGGACCAAGAAATACTACAATTTGGATAAGAAACAGTCTCCTTTAATAGCATGTTACAAGGAAAGAAAAACTTTGCCAAATATTTCCCTTACCTGGTTACTCCACTCTTCCCAAGATAGTAAATTCAGGGAGGAAAAAAAAAAAAAGAAGGATAAAGTCTGATTATTGTGTGTGTGTTTAAACTTCTCATCCTGGTGAATAGATGGATGGCTATTTACCAGCCAGGTACAGAGGGCGAGTTCTCCAGTGGGGCTTCAGGCATGTTTTTCTGGGTAGTCTTGGAAGAACTGGATTCCATTGCTCATAACCATACTTACCCACGCCAGGCTCTAAGGTGGACACTGGTAAACTAGAATGGAATACAAGAGGGAGCTTGCCTCCAAAGAGATGGCTCTGATATGAGTACCACCAAGAAGTGTTAGCTTTAATGAAGTGCTTACTGTTTTGCCAAGCACTTATGCTAAGCGCTCTACAATTTCTCTGGTTAATACTAATGACAACTCTACTTAGTAGATATTATTATCTTACTTTACGGATAAGAAAATTGAGACTCATAGAGGTTAACTAACTTGCCCAAGGACGGTCAGTGTTAAGCTGCAGAGTCAGGTTTTAATTTGATTTGCCCTAATCTCTGAGCTTCTCTGCTGCCTTGTACAGAAGATAGACACCCAAACAGACGAGTTCAAGGCATTCTGTCAAGCTACGACACAGCAAGAACTGCAGAGGAGGCTCTGGAAGCATGGAAATTGTAAGGGTGGTGGGCTAAGTTTAGAGTATTACAGATGAAATTGATCAGGTCACATGACTTATGGGTGGGACACAAGCAAAACCCAGCTTCTGAGCCTAGTGGAGCACTTGGCTAAAAGTCCCATTTTAGATGACTCTGGACTATGTGGAGGAAAGAAACAACAACAATCAACCAGGCTCTCCTCCTAAAGGTCACCATGGCTGATTCCCTCACCTCTTTCAAATATGTTGTTAAACGTCGTCTTCACAAGGAGAGCTACTCAACCAACTTATTTAAATTGCAACCTGCCCCTCCTCTCACAATCACTCTGATCTCTTTTACCCTGCCCTCCTTTTTCTTTTGTTATGGAACTGTTTGCACCTTCCACCAGGTGGTACTGTGTAACTTACTCATGCATTACGTATGTTGCTTATTCTTATTGTTTATTATTTGAATCCTTTCTTTAGAACCTAAAATCACTGACAGGAAGGATTTGTATCTGTTTTCATGGACATATCCCAAATTCCTAGAAGTAGGTGCTCAATAACTATTTGTTAAATTAATGAATGAATGAATGAATGCTTGAAAAACAAACTGTAGATATAAGTTTGGGCCGAATGACGTTGGTAGCCCATCCCAGACTTGGCATTCTGCTCCCATGTCTAAAAAAAAGCATCCTTCCATTGAGGATTCAGGGGTATTGGAAAGCAAGTTCTCACCTGTCCAGATACCTGATTTAGATCTCACTGGGATTGTGCTTTTGAACCTGGATTAAATCTACGTGTTCAATAAACTCTCATCCTTGGTCTACTATGCTCATCTTCATTCCAGTCCTGTGCTCTCCTGACATGGGCAGTTAAAGAAAAGAATTTAGTGCATACAGCAAATATTCCCCATATCTCAACGGCAGGCAGAACAAACTCTGAGATTTGAGCTGGAAATATATATTTTTTTAATTCATGGGAGTGTCTTTGAGTTTGAATTAACATAATTATAAAATTTACAGGCATCCAGTGTGCTTTTTGTAAGGCTTCTGTAACAGATGTGTCAAATGTCTAGTTTTGAAAGGACTTCATAATTCAGTTGCAATTTCCTCTGGGTTAAATAAGGGAGTCTGCGAGTTGGGGGTTGGGGGAGGGGCAAGACTAATACATTCCTTGACGTGCCATCTGAATGCAAGATGAACGCACTCGGTATTAAAGGCTTCCTACTTTTCTTTTCTCATTATGTTGAGTCATACCCCCCTACTAGGGTGAGGAACACTCCCTTTCTTTAAAAGTTGAAACTGACTTCCAAATTCTTTCTAAAGCACATTTGGGTTTCCACCAGGCCTAGTTTCCTTTTTAACGCCAGGAATGCAAGAGATGGAGGGTACTAAAATTTATTTCTGTATAGCTCAATGGTGACAAAATCAGGAGCTCTGATTTGACAGTTATGTCAATGAACAAATTTAGTGTCATTTTTTGGTGCTTTTATTCCTTTTTTATGCATATCCCTTTGGTTTCTAAAGCCAAAAATTGTCAATTGATTGTTCCCTGGATTATTCCCTCTGCCCTATTTCCTTCCCTGGCTATCATTTAGTCATCAAGTCCTATCAACTTACCTCTAAATATTTCTTAAATCCATTCATTTCTCTCCATCCTCACTATGGCTGCCTTGATTATGGCCACCATATTGTTCTTCTGTTAAGGTCCAAAATGTTGAAGAAGGCCTGTAAATAAGGTGACCAATTCACCTAGGTTAGCCTGGGACTGTCCCAGTTTTAAGATGGAAATTCCCACAACCCAGCACCCACACCCACCCCTCAGTCCTGGTCAAACTGGGACTATCGGTCATCCTACCTATAAGTCTTTGTAACTCTCTGCTTCCTTTGTTTGCTGCAGCCCCCCAACCTTCTTCCAGTTACTTGAGCTTGACCATGTTCTTTCCTACCTCAAGACCTTCACACAGGCTGGTTTTCCCCCGGATTGCTTTTCCAGTCACTTTTTGCCTGGTTAACTCATTCTCCTTCACCAGACATTGGCTTAAATGTCACAATTTCAAAAAGCCTTTCATGATCCAGCACCCAGCCCCACATTAATTTTTGATCTTACTATAACCTCTCATTGGACTCTTTATTTTTCCTTCATACCACTTTCAATTGGTAGTTACATTTTCATCTGATAATTATATGTTTAAAGAAGCACTTCCTCATCCAAAATTCAGCTTCTCCAAGGCAGAAGACATATCTCTTTATACAGCTGTTTTGTCTCCAACACCTACTCCAAGACCTGGCAAGTATTAAGCACTCTGTAAATATATCTTCAGTAAATTAACTTTCCATGTAGTTTCCATTTCCCCTTGATTAAACGTGCAGACCTTTGTCTATCCTCTCTCCCTTCACCCCTTCTTCCTATCCTTCCTGTCTCTGGACCTCTCTTTTCCCTTGCTCTTTCTTTCTTTTGTAGAAACAACTCTTGGAATTAGTTAATTCTACTGTTTTTGTGCCCTTCAAACCGATAATTTCTGCTTTTATCAATATCATTTCCTTCATCTAATTTTTCTTAGGTATACTCTTTTATTTTTTGAGCTCTCAGGCCCACTTGCCCGCACTCTGCCTCCCTCTTGATTTAGCTACACCGAGTCGGCAGTTTTCCTGAAGAGACTAAGCTGTTTAAACTGTGTCACTTTTGCTGCACATGTTGCTTTCTCTGTGTGATATGCCCTTAATTTACTGGTCTGACACATATTGAATGGATCCCTCCCCATCTTGTCTACTCAACTACTAATTCCTTAAGACCTGGCTCAGCTGTACCTTGTCTATAATGCTTTTTTGCTTCCACCCACAGAGAGTTAATACTTTTCTTTGTGTCATGAGCATACCTCGAGTAGACATCCATTATAGCACTTATGCTGCATTATAATTTATACCCCACCTTCCTTACTGAACTCTGAGCTCCATGATGACAGTGTCTGACCTCTGTGTCTATTTTGGGGAAGGTTTAGATTCTGGAGGAAAGGGGCATACATAATTAGCATAGCTCTCTCTACAGTCTCAGCCCCCTAATAAAGACAGAGTTCCACTAAAAAGTAAGTACAATAAGTCAATAGGAAAATGGTCTAGGAGACAAATAGATAGGGAAAAAACACATTGGGTCATAGGCCATGTACATTTTCAACTTTATTAGATAATGCCAAAGGAAATTTCTTTACTTGAGGTGAGAAAGAAAAAAGAGAGAGGCAAATACAAATATAAATTTGATGTAGATAGGAAAGATTTTGAGAAAACTCACATTGGATGGACTTGGTCCCCACAAAATATGATTTTGCAGGGTTTGGCGGTGGGAAAAGGAATATGTCCTTCGATCAGAGTGGAATAGGTTTGAAGTCCTTTAAGAATATGTTATGGAGTCAACCAAGGAAAAATCAAGGATGTTAGAGCTATCACAGGACCCGGTAGATAAAGAGCAAATACCTGTCATGATTTTACCAAGTGTCACCTGATAGATGTTCTAGGCATTGAAGGGAGTCGTGAGTGGCACAGCTGAGGATGGGAAGGCAGGGGTAATGGAAGCTCATGGAGGCAAGGGCAGTGGATGTTCATAAGAGCCGGTGAAATGGCTGACTCTGGGCTGAAACCAGTGAGACCAGAGAGTTGTGAGATTGGAGCTCCTGGGTTAGACAGACAGTAGGTTCCAGGGGAAAATAGAGGGAAAATAGAGGCAAAGAGGTAGAAGGAGAAGCTACTATGACCAGTGGAGTTGATTTCAGAATTCACACTAGGTGTAGGGTAGGTCAACATTGGGGTTACATCTTCTCACCAGCCAATAGCATGCTTTTATTCCATTTGATGGAAATGAGATAAGCATTATGAGATATTAAAAGAATAAAACTGGTTAAAGCCTTTATCTATCAAACCCAAAGCCAGGTACTATTCAGGTATTATAACCTACACTATTCCTGTCTTCTGGTTTTAGTCAGGACGGCCCTGGGCCCCAGAGTTACTGTGGTTCATTTGCTGGTGGAACGTATTTCAGAGTGATTGTTTTACCTTGTAGCTGAGCCTTTGCTCATGGGCAGCAGGGAGAGAGGGTCTCCTCCTCTTTGATTGGTGCTGTCCAAACACAAGATTTTTATCTTATTTGGAATTGGGGGGGATAAGATTCTCTATACATTTTTATAGGAATATAAAAGGCAAACAAGAATGATTTTTAAATACATGGGACTTCAAGGTGCAGATTTGCAGACACATTTTTCCCTTCCTTGTTGCATATCTCTATCCTTTCTGGGAGTAAACACATAGATCTTGGTGTGGTTTTCTTTAAAACAAGAGAAAAGAGTCAAAACAGTTAATCTCACATGCTTCAAGTGATAAGAAAAAAATCAGCACAAGCTGGCGTAGGGGGACATGTAGGTAGTAGAGCCGAAGTAGAGAATTCTCCCAGTGGGTCCCCGCA